TCACTATAGTTGAGGCTAAGTCCAAAGGTTGAAATGCTCTTTGGACATCTAATAACGTCTTAACCTTAATATGTCCCAAATGAGCTCCTGGTATTCCCACCCCCACTCACATTGCAAACTACTCCTCCTGCAGTATTTCCCATCTTGCTTCATGGCACCTCCATCCATCTGGTGATTCAAGCCTAACACCTTTCTCTCACATTCCACATCCAGTCAGCAAACTGTAAGCTTCAGCTTCAAAATCTATCTACTTTTCACTACTTTCACTGCTGTAGCTTGGGTCCACCATCACCTTTCACCTGGATTATTGCAGTAACTGGGCCTCTGCCACACTTGGCCCACTTCAATCTGTTCTTAAGACTATAGCTAGAGTTCATGTGTAAGTTACATGATGTCATTCATGGCCCAACTAATAGTTTCACCTCTCATTCCAAGTCAAAGCCCAAGGTACACATGGTCTCATCTCCTATTACCTCTCTGCCTCATCGCCCACTATGTTCCCCCTCATTCACTCTGTTCCAGTCACACTGGCCCTTTGTTGGTCCTTGGGCATACCCAGCTGGCTGCTACCTGAGTTTCTCTACTTGCTTTTCCTTTCCTTATATAAATGCTGAGGTTGCTTCCTTTTTTTTCTTTTTTTCTTTTTTTTTAATCGGTTTGTCTCTCAGTATGAAACCATGCTTGCTTCCTAACTTCCTTTAGGTCTTTGTGCAACCATCACTTAATGAAGCTTGACCACTCTATTTTAAATGGCACCGCAGTGTCTGTTTGCACCCCACCGCCCGTCACACACACCTCCTATCTTCTTTAGGCAGAAGGATTATCTAATACAGACAGAAAAGATTGCATGCTGTTGTGACTCAAATACACTTGATCTAGGAGGGCAGTTTATTAAAAACATGTCTCTTAGAGCAGACTTTTTTTTTTTTTGAAACAAGTTCTCACTGTTGCTCAGACTGGACTGTAGTGCAGTGAGTGACATGACCACAGCTCACTGCGGCCGTGACCTCTCAAGCTCAAACAATCCTCCTACTTCAGCCTCCTAGGTAACTAGGACTACAGCTGTGTGCCACCATGACCACCTAATTTATTTTTTTATTTTTTGTAGAGACAGGGTCTCTCTCTGTTGCTAGGGCTCATCTCACACTCCTGGGTTTAAGGGATCCTCTGCCCGAGCCTCCCAAAGTGCTGGGATTACAAGTGTGAGCCACCATGTCTGGCCAGGGCAGCCTAACTCTTACAGACTGGAGTTGCAATGTCTCTGAACTGCATATGAGGAAAACCTTACAACCAAAATCTGAGATTGAAATGTGCAAAATCTGGTTAAAACTGAACTTTAGGGCCAGGCGCGGTGGCTCACGCCTGTAATCCCAGCACTTTGGGAGGCCGAGGCGGGTGAATCATAAGGTCAAGAGATCGAGACCATCTTGGTCAACATGGTGAGACCCCGTCTCTACTAATGATACAAAAAATTAGCTGGGCACGGTGGCACGTGCCTGTAATCCCAGCTACTCAGGAGGCTGAGGCAGGAGAATTGCCTGAACCCAGGAGGCGGAGGTTGCGGTGAGCCGAGATCACGCCATTGCACTCCAGCCTGGGTAACAAGAGCGAAACTCCGTCTCAAAAAAAAAAAAAAACAAAAAAAAACTGAACTTTAGAAGAATAAGTCTATTTTAGCAAAAATATTAGCCCTAAATTAGTCTTATTAAAAACCAGTAAGTATTAGCTCTTCAAACTTGCAGATAATACTTCTTTAAGCTCAGTAAATTAAAGCAACTCTTTATATTCTCTGTAAGATTTAAGGTGACCCTGACTTTTGTGGCTGTTTTTCCAGTTAGCTAATTAAAAATGTCATCATCTGCAGCTGGGGCTTTAGCGTTAACAGATTAGCTCATGAATCTGTCAGGACTCAGAAATAAAGGATGTCATTTTGATAGTTTTTGATAGCAACCATTCTTCTCCTTCTACTTCAAGAATTATTTTCCCTTAATGACTTCTAGAAGTGTGATTTCTAGTCATCTATCTTCCCGATTTCCTAATAGCTCCTCCCTCTTCCTTTTCTCCAGAGAACTAATTCAGCAAATTATATAGATACCAACATCAGCACTGTAAAAGGGTGCTACAGACTATCTGCAGAAGACAGTGTCATTCACAACTAAACAGATTTGACAACTTTCAAAAGGCATATGGGAAGTTATATATTAATTACTAAACTATATACATACACAGCTCTTTATTTACTCAGAGATCTTTCAAAAAGCTAGGATGTTAGTTTCTCTTATTCTGAGATTAAGCTATATAAATTCTCTAAAATCATTTTCTTTTTCTTTTTTGGGGGGACAAAGTCTCGCTCTGTCACCCAGGGTGGAGTGCAATGGTGCAATCTTGGCCCACTGCAACCTCTGCCTCCTGGGTTCAAGTGATTCTCCTGCCTCACCCTCCCTAGTAGCTGGGATTACAGGTGTGAGCCACCATACCCAGCTAATTTATTTCTTTTGTGTCTTTAGAAGAGACAGTTTCACCATGTTAGCCAGACTGGTCTTGAACTCCTGACCTTAGGTGATCCACCCACCTCAGTCTCCCAAAGTGTTGGGATTACAGGTGTGAGCCACCATGCCCGGCCTCTAAAATCATTTTCTAAGAGGAAACAAAAATAAAACTCATTGCAGGAGAAGTGTTATATTCTTGTAACTGTTAAACACCTTAAGAATTTGAGCTAGGTATATAACAACTATGATATAATCTATCATTTTTATAATCAGATGCTCCAATAATCACAATCAAAATTACATCCCAAATATTTCTACTCGAAGCTTTAGATTGTTGCTAAGAAACTTAAATACAATTTCTGAATGAGCAGGTAAAAGAAACCCTTATTTCCTGTAACTATCTGCCAAGATACAATATCAGGTGCAATCTTGCCATTTTTTCAGCCAATGAGATTAGCAAAATGAGGTACCTAGAGAAGTGATTGAAGCTTGTTTCTTCCACATGGGCTGCTATCGAAATATGTGCCTTTGATTTAAAATTGTTTTTCCATTAGCTCAGAGTATGGCTGGACATATGAGTCCTGTCCACATCCAGCCTAATGTAACTATTTCAGGAAGAGTTTGCAGCTCATATCAAGAACACCAAATTGCATCTCCGTGGGGTAGTTTCATAGTGCTTTTTGCTGATTTCAGTGTGGGTATACGTGCCCTCCAAAGGAAAGACACTGGCTTTCTCGACGTAAATACAAGTTACCTACCCTGGAGCACATATTCTTGGAAGACAGTAAAACTATGTGAATAAATGGTTGTCCTTTTTAAATTATTCCTTATGCATCTTTATTCATATTCTTTATTTAGACCCTTATTTAGAATCAAATTGTAGAGTTTGCTTTTGGTGTTGTGCTATCATTTTAATTTTACATGTGTGTGTGTGTGTGTTGTGGGTCTTTTCTTTAAAGCCTAAGATGAGATATTTCCATTGCAAATTTTTCCCCCATTTTAATCATTGAGTCTTTAAATGCCACTTGTGCATCTCTAAGAACTGAGCTTCAGGAAAATGGTGATGTTATCAAATCTTGCAAAGGGTCTTCCTACTTCAGAGCCTAACCCAGTCCCTTTTTCCTCTTGAGCATCGGGGCTTGGTGGGAGCTGAGTTGAACTTCTCAGAAATTAGTCAAGTTAAATGAGTCTTTATTTATTTTACTTAATGTCATGGAACAAAATGGAATGAGGCCCTTCTACCTTTTTGTTAAGACTACTGCCTTTGATTTCATAGGCAATTATCTCTGCATTTTTAACCCCAAGTGTGAGATACATAAGTGCTCTGAATCATATGACCTTTTTCGTTTTTAATTTTCATCTTTTCTCACCTTTCTCATTAGAGCCTCTATAAATGAAGCCTAAGTTACCTTCCCAGTGTGTCAGGTGATTCTAAAGATGATAAAATAGAAAATGTTAGCACTAGAATCGATTGTGCTAGTTGATTTTCATGATCTTCTAGCATGTTTCTTCAATGTTCTTTGCTACCATGAAACTCAGTAGTGCTACCTGCTAGTGATGTCGTTTCCTTTGATGGGTGAGTGAAGTGTGGAGTTGACTCTTCTTATCTCATTGATTCTTTGGCTCTGGTGTCAGGGCTTACATTGGCATAACCAGGTCTGCCCACTGCATAAATGCTGCCAGACATGATTATTAATAGCCCTGAAATACAGTGCAGTCAGTTAATGCACAGAAAGTCCTAACACAGCAGCCTCATCTGCAGCAAGGATCCTGTTTACCAAATGACTGCTAAACCAAATAACCTTCAGTTAGTTTGTAGCTTTTGGTTCTTAATATAATGAAGTTTAGGGGCTATACTGAATAAATTAGTAATTACCGTTTTTTGTTTTTTTTTTGAGGCAGGGTCTTGCTTTGTCACCCAAGCTGGAGTGCAATGGCATGACCGTGGCTCGCTGCAACCTCAACCTCCTGTGCTCAGTTGATCCTTCTGCTGCAGCCTCTTGAGTGGCTGGGACCACAGGCATTTACCACCACAACCAGCTAATCTTTGTATTTTTTGTAGAGACAGGGTCTTGCTATGTTGCCCAGGCTAGTCTCAGACTCCTGGGCTCAAGTGATCCTCCCACCTGACCCTCCCAAAGTGCTGGGATTACAGGTGTGAGCCACTGTACCCAGCTGAGTAATTATTAATCCTTTTTGTATAACATTTTAGTAAAAACTTGAAGCGTTTCAGTTAAGAAAATACTGTGTGTGTATATGTATGTGTGTGCACATGTGCACATTCAGGGGAGTGTGGTGTGTGTGTGTTTCTATACACGCACATACACATGTGCAAATGTGTGTATTTGAAAGAGCTTCCAGCTGGGTCCATATCCCATTTCCTTTAGGCCTTTTGAAGGCTAGGTTTCATCAGTTATCCCCACTTTTATGTCTTTAGCTTTTGTTTCTGTAGTAGCTTTTAATGTTAGCGTATAAATATGCCCAAGTCTCTCTTATCTTTTTTTTTTTGAGATGGAGTTTCGCTGTTGTTACCCAGACTGGAGTGCAATGGCATGATCTCGGCTCACCACAACCTCCGCCTTCTGGGTTCAAGCAATTCTCCTGCCTCAACCTCCCGAGTAGCTGTGACTACAGGTGCGCACCACCATGCCCAGCTAATTTTTGTATTTTTAGTAGAGACGGGGTTTCACCTTGTTGACCAGGATGGTCTCAATCTCTTGACCTCATGATCCACCCACCTCAGCCTCCCAAAGTGCTGGGATTATAGGCATGAGCCACCGCGCCTGGCCATCTCTCTTATCTTAAAAAAAAATTTGCTTTCTTAGTCCTACATCTTTCTTTAGCTGTGGCCTGATTTACCTCCTCTTCTTTAAAGCTGACTTCATAAAAGAGTAAGCCACAGTACCCACCGCGCTGCAGTCTTTCCTCCTCCTCCCCTGAAACCACCCTCTCTGAGGTCACTGATGGATTCCTGTTTGCCACATCCAGCAGGCACTTTCCAGGCCTCAGTAGAGTCTTCCTCATGTTATTTGACCTTTCCACTACCTTTGATGCTGTTGACCTTCTTCTTCCTTCATGTAATTCTCCTTCCTTGGCTTCCCTGGTGCTGGCTCTTCTGCTTTTTCTCCTCCCTGTCAACCTACTCCATCCCAGTCCTCTCCCTGTTTATCTGTTTCTAAATATTAATAGTACTGTTTCACCAGGGACCAGTCTTTTCTCATTTCCCAGCATGTGCCACCATGAGCTATCACTTTTTCTCATGGCTTCACCCAAAACCTATAAGCTGGGGACTCACAAATCTCCCACGTGGACTCACAGGCGACACCACTTGGGCATTCTGAAGACAGTTCAACCCTCTGCCCCAACATCTGAACTACCCTTTCCCCCACCAAGACAACTCTTCTTCCTTAGTCCTGTTTTTCAGAACCCTTTCTACTAATCAGAGTTTAAGGCAAACTGGCTCTTGAGAATCTGTACTTTTCCTGTTCATTTCCTAAAGGAATTCTGTCAGACGGGCCCACTTGTAGGACCTCAGCCACAGCAGAGGAAAGCCCTTGGTGTCACCCAGATGGGAAACTGACATGGACCACACTTTCCTGAGCTTGGCTTTTAGGTCCTTATTTACCTTGAGCTTCCCTGTGTTTGGTCTTCCTAAAGAAAATATTTAGATAATGTCTTGCAAATTCAGTCTGCCTGAGGTGAAAGCGGAATGAATGGCAGTGAGCCTACGTTATCTGGGCTTGCCTTGGAAACCCTTACCTCCTCTAAGCAGAAGAGCGAGTCCCTATCTCTAAATAGCTGCAGAAAAGTCTTTTTCTTCTTTTATTTACATTAAAAAGCATTACTGTAAGAGATGATTTTAATACCTGAGAGTCTTCCCTCTCAGGAAATTTATTCTCATATTTGACTTCAGTGCTTTCATACTACAACTTCCGTCCTCCAGGGAGAAAAAAAGATGATTGGCATTATCTGTCTTAAAAGTCTGTATTTTTAATGGCCATTACTAAATCTCTTGGACACAACATCTTCTACAGACACAGTAAGCTGGGTTCCTTTATCTTTTCTGCATATATTGCACTTTTCAGTTCTTTGTGTCTGTTATGACTGACCTCTTGTAAATTATAGAATTAGATACTGAAGAATGATGAAGAAGACAGCAGACGAAGTGCTTCTGGAGGGACTTAGAATCTCTTATAAAGGGAGAGAGCAAATAAACCTATGTGAAATATATATACACATAGAAACATTAAATAAATGCATAGCCACTTTAACTGTGCTGTACAAATAATGTTGAGGGACTATTAGAGATGATTATGACCAAAGTTATTTTTGTGAGAAGAATAATGAATTGTGTTTGGAAGCAAGAAGGACCCTGCCTAATAAGGAGAAATTGGAAATTCTCTTTGTTGTTCATCAATGCTATTCATTGAAGTATCCGTCTCCAGCACGTAGCACAATGCCTGGCTTATTTCAGACACTCCGTAAGTGCTCGTTGACTGTATGATAACCAGCTGGGTATGGTACTCCAGGAAGAGTATGCCAGTATGATTTGCTTTGTAAATCTGTAAATCATTCTGATACCCTGTATATTCCTAATCATAAAAATTTTAGAATTTTAGAGTGGAAAGGACTTTTAAGTAGCAAAACATTACAGATATGCTCTCCTAAATTTGTCCCTGCTGTAGATCATTTCATCTTCCTTCTAACTCTTCCTCCAGGTAACCTATGTTTCTACGAACCAGCAGAAGAGGCAGGAGCTAGTCCTGACATGATTTTGCAGCCTGCTTAGTGACTCCATTTCTTGGCACTGCTGCCACATTGCTTTCATTTTGCTTTATTTAAGGGATTTCATTATTAAGCAGTTACCTTTCAATAAGATTATTCCTCCAATTCAATCACTCCTAAACATCCTGTCTCTCATATTATCATACACTGCTCCCCTTGAGTCCCGCTGAAAGACTGCCCTAGGTTTCCTTTCCCGAAGATATGTTTGGGTCTCAAGTGTTCTTGCAAATGATTTAACTAGAACAACAACAATAATAAAACAATCTATAAATGCAATATTGTATTCTGGATTGGATCTTGTAACAGCAAAAGGACATTAGTGAAACAATTGGTGAAATCTGAATAAAGGCCATAATTTGCATAATGTTAATTTCCTAAGTTTTGATCAATGTGCCATGGGTATATAAGATGTAAGCATTAGGGGAAGCTGGATAAAGGGTATGAAGATATGAACATTTTACAAATACAGAGAGATGTTAGAAACTGTGGAAGTACATGTGAACATCCTGGTTATTTTCAAAAACATAATTTTCAAAATATAATGAGAAAATTGCAGACTACCGAAGTACACTTTTAGATAGTTCTAGATTGTAAGTAAACAAAGTAAAAACAAACAACCCTCATCTGGGCTCATCCCCCTTCTCATTCAGGTTTCTCCTAACTCCATTCCCTCCATTCTCACGGCTTCAGCTGTCTGCTCTGTGCTTCCATCAGAAGTGCCCCAGGTCTTCTACATCTCAGTCCTGGACCCATGCTTGCTGTTTCCCACACAGGCACTGGATATTCAGCACATAGGAAGCTCAATTTTTTATTCCCTCCCCTGGAAGCCTGCCCTCAGTTGGCCAGTGGCATCACCATTCTGATCCCCAAGCTCTATGCTTCAGGATCATCTTAGACTCCCTTCTCCTTTTACGCTTATTCACAGTGTTCTCAATTCTTCGAAAAAGTCTCTGGTATCTACCCACTCATTTCTTTCACTATCCCCTTGTCTACCCTAAAACAGAATCTCACATGCCTTGTCACCTGTCTGTAGTTTGTCCACCCTCCCTACTGCCTTCATAGGGAGGGCACAACAGAGCACACCAGTGTGGCTTTCCTGCTTCAAAAAGCATCAGTGACTCTATTCTGCTACCAGCCTAAACTATGGTAATAAACATCCATCCAGAAGAGACATGCATGTTATTACTAAATTAGATGGTCAGCTCAAACCTACCTCCCTCCTTACTCCAACCCCAACCCCAAGAAAGTAGGAGCACAGACCTTTGGAGTCAGAAAGTCCTGGCCTTGAATATCAGCTCTGTGACCTTGGGCAAATTGGTCTTTGCCACTGAGCCTCGGTTTTCTCTTATGTAAAATAGAAGTTGTATTTACCATCCAGGGCTATTATGAGGATTGGATAAAATTATGTATGTCCAGTGCCAAGCTCAGTGACCTCCTCTCATTGTTATTGGTGCTTAATACTGTAGGCTGCCTTGAGAAAGAGGTCCCTTGATCATTTCTGTCACGTGGTTTTGTTATTGAAAATGGAGGTTGAGGCCGGGCGCAGTGGCTCACGCCTGTAATCCCAGCACTTTGGGAGGCCAAGGCGGGCAGATCACGAGGTCAAGAGATCGAGACCATCCTGGCCAACATGGTGAAACCCCATCTCTCCTAAAAATACAAAAAAATTAGCCAGCATGGTAGCATGTGCGTGTAGTCCCAGCTACTTGGAAGGCTGAGGTAGAAGAATCGCTTGAACTCAGGAGGCGGAGGTTGCAGTGAGCCGAGATTGCGCCACTGCACTCCAGCCTGGCGACAGAGCAAGACTGTCTCAAAAAAAAAGAAAAAAGGAAATGGAGGTGGATTACATCTTATGGTCCCTCCAGGGACCATGGTCTACCTTCCATATCGGGGGCCTTCCTGTAGAGAAGCTAATCCCACATGGAGGAATTGAGTACTTTTCCTATACCCTACCCAGCTGTGCTGGGTGCTCTGCTTCCTGTCACAGGTGCAGCCCTGAACCATTAGAGTTGAAGGGAGCCTAGCCTTGGAAAATGCATTCAGTTTCCCAGAATATAATGCCCTTGTCACTTATCTCATTCCTGTGGGTGAAACAGTGTGCTTTTCAGCAGAATTCTTCAGTGACTTTCCTACTTTCCTGGAGAGGTCCAAAGTAGAATACACCTACCCTAGTCCTCCGTCTGGTCAGGACCTCATCTAATTGATTCAGTGCTCCATTTCCAGTAGTCTAATACAATGTCTGATATACAGTATGTGCTTAATATTGGATGGATGGACGGATGAATGATTTAATATCTAGGATTTGGCAACAAATGCATACTTAATTGAAAGGCTGAATAATGATTTTCCCAGTGAACAAAATTATTAGGCCAGTGGTTCTAAACCTTAGCTGTACTAATCCCCAAGAGAGTTTTCTTGTTTTGTTTTGTTTAACACTGATTTATGGGTTCTACCCAGGCGTATGCTCTGCTGCTTTCTAAAAGCTCTCCAAGTGATTCTAATAGACAGCCAGTGTTGGAATCCACCATGTTTGACTACTCAAAGTATATGTACCCTGTGCATAACTCTTTATCATTTTCAATTACCACATTGTATTGTAATTATCAGCTGATATGTCTCTCCCTCACTTGACTTTATGCTCCTTGAACTCATACTGGTGTGTCTTCCTAGTGCCTGGTATGGTGCTTGGCATATAATGAATAATCATAAATATTAATTGGATAGATTGGTGGTTTCTTTCATTTAAGACACAAGAAAATCACATAGTACCAAATAAGACAAAGAGAAAAAAATGTTAGCATCATGGATTTTGTTTGGGTTCAGTTTGTGTGTGTTATTTTCCAGTCATCTACACTTTGCTAACCTGTTGCTTGCCCATAATGGATTATTTGTTTCTGTTCATTCACTGTCATCTATCCAGATGCTGTGAACAGACAGCAGCTAAAGATACTGGACTTCGTTGAAGAGTCCTAATTTAAAATATCTTGTCCCATTATTCGCATTTGTACATAGGTTCTAAAATTGCCATCACTATACATATGAGAGGATAGTTCATTAATGTGATATTCAGTATCACTCCTCCTCATTAATGAAAGCTGTAGAAGCCTCTAGACACATGGATTGCCATTCCAATTTTTCTGAAATCCAAAACCAATATATTTAGATATAGAATAATACAGCTAGAAAGATATTTACATTAAACCATCCTCATTCTGTTGTGAAGAAGCTGAAGCCAGGTGGGCATCTGGGGACTTGCCAGAGATCACACAGTTTATTAGGGACACAGCTGGTACAAGAAACCTGATGTTCTGGTCCTCAGGCCTGGGCCACCACACAGTGCTTGCAGCATTTAAGATTACATTAGAAGTCAAAGATCAGACTTTTACTTCCATTCTGGAGTCTGTATTCAGAAGAAAAATATCTGAGAAAAACATATTACAGGTTTCTCAGAAGGCTTAGGAGGAGAAGTACAGGTGGAAAGTGGAGAGAGCAGAGGAAAGGAATTCTTGAAGGAGACTTTGAAAGTTATTAGAAAAATGTGTATTTTGTGACAGCACCACAGTTCACTTGTTTATCTATCTGCCCTTGTTTTCAGAATCTTCCCCAGAGAATACCTCCTTCAACAGATCCACCTGTATTCCCTTGCTGACCTGCAGCAGGTAAGTGCTCAGAGGGGCCATTTCATTTTTGTTGTTTTCCTGGAGAAGTCTCTGTGGATTATGGTCTTGCCACTGAATTCTGCCATCAATGGGGTAGTTTTCATCACAAGCCCTAATAATTAATTCTTATTCAGAATGGGGGGAAAACTTAGTATGAAAAGATATATAGGACAGTAACAAAGGTTGGCAAGGATGTAGAGAAACTGGGTCTCTTATACATTGCTGGTGGGATGCAAAGTGCTACAGCCACTTTGGAAAGAGTCTGGCAGTTCCTCAAAAAATGAAACTTAAAGGGCCAGGCGCAGTGGCTCACGCCTGTAATCCCAGCACTTTGGGAGGCCGAAGCGGGTGGATCACCTGAGGTCGCGAGTACAAGACCAGCCTGACCAACATGGAGAAATCCCATCTCTACTAAAAATACAAAATCAGCCGGGCATGGTGGCACATGCTTGTAATCCCAGCTACTCAGGAGGCTGAGGCAGGAGAATTGCTTGAACCCAGGAAGTAGAGGTTGTGATGAGCCAAGATTGTGCCATTGCACTCCAGCCTGTGCAACAAGAGCAAAACTCCATCTCAAAAAAAAAGAAAAATAAACTTAAGAGTTACCATATGACCCAACAATTTTACTCCTAGGTATATATACAAAAGAGTGGAAAACATATGTCCACAGAAAAACCTGTACGCAAATATTCAGAGCAGCATTCATAATAGCAAAAAAGTGGAAACAACCCAAATGTTCTCAGCTGATGAATGGATGCACAAATGTTTTGTAGTATATAATAAAATATTATCTTGCCATAGAAAGGAGTGAGGTAATGATGCATGCTACAACATGGATAAGTCTTGAAAACATCATGCTAAGTAAAAGAAGTCAGACAGAAAAGAATACATACATGTGATTCTATTTACATGAATGTTTAGAATAGGCAAATCCATAGTGACAAGTACATTAGTGGTTGCCAGGGCCTGGGGAGAGCGAAGAAATGAGGAGTGACTGCTAATGGATAAAGAATTTCTTTGGAGGCTAATGAAAGTGTTCTGGAATTAGACGGCAGTGATTGTACAGTCTTGGGAATATACTGAAAACCACTAAATTGTTTACTTTAAAAGAGTAAATTTTATGGTGTGTGAATTTTATCAATTAAGAATTTGGGCCAAGCGCAGTGGCTCATGCCTATAATTCCAGCACTTTGGGAGGCCGAGGTGGGTGGATCATGAGGTCAAGAGATCGAGACCATCCTGGTCAACCTGGTGAAGCCCTGTCTCTACTAAAAATACAAAAAATAGCTGGGCGTGGTGGCGCATGCCTGTAGTCCCAGCTACTTGGGAGGCTGAGGCAGGAGAATTGCTTGAACCCAGGAGGCAGAGGTTGCGGTGAGCCGAGATCACGCCATTGCACTCCAGCCTGGGTAACAAGAGCAAAACTCCGTCTCAAAAAAAAAAAAAAGAATTTGTATGAAAAGATATAAAAGGCATTGAATGTATTAAGCCCTTTGACTTGTGCTCAAGCCAAAAGTTGAGTGACTTTTAAACTTTAGTGAAGCATAACAGAGCACATAAGAGTTGAAATCATCTTTTTATACTTTTATTAGCAAATGTTCTCTTTCTTTCTTTCTTTCTTTCTTTCTTTCTTTCTTTCTTTCTTTCTTTCTTTCTTTTTTTTGTGAGACAGAGTCTTGCTGTGTCGCCCAGGCTGGAGTGCAGTGGCATGATCTTGGCTCACTACACCCTCCACCTCCTGGGTTCAAGTGATTCTCCTGCCTCGGCCTCCCGAGTAGCTGGGATTACAGGCATGTGCCACCACGCCTGGCTAATTTTTGTAGTTTTAGTAGAGATAGAGTTTCACCAGGTTGGCCAGGCTGGTCTCGAACTCCTGACCTCAGGTGATCCGCCCAATTTGGCCTCCTAAAGTTCTGGGATTACAGGCGTAAGCACCCGTTTCTGGCGCACTTGTACTTTTAATGATTGACCAGATTAACAGCTATAAAGAAACTGGCCTTTTGTGTGTTCAGCCCTAAATTCTAAATATGTTAAGCTTTGGTTAATCATTTAAATCAATACCTCACTCCCTAAGAAGCTGTTGGACACTAAATAAGTGATTCTTTCAGGAGTTGATTAAATAATAATAATAATTGTGACAGCTTTCAGAGTATCTCAAACTGCTGCGATTCTATTCTTCCGTTGTCATTTTCCTCTTTGTTGTTTTATCCAGAAGAATTTAGGTGAATTTAAAAACCATGCTTATATCCTTCAGTCATTTTTCTGACTTTAAATTACTTTTCAAGAATTTTTTTCTCTTTTAATTTAATAACTTAAGACTTTTATGTTCTTTTTGTCCCCCCCAGAGGTAGGAAAGTTATTTTATTTTATTTTTATTTATTTGTCTTTGAGACAGTCTCTGTTGTCCAGGCTTGAGTGAAGTGGTACGATCTTGGCTTACTGCAACCTCCACCTCTTGGGTTCAAGTAATTCTCGTGCCTCAGCCTCCCATGTAGCTGGGATTACAAGCGTGCACCACCATGCCTGGCTAATTTTCACATTTTTAGTAGAGACAGGGTTTCACTATGTTGGCCGGGCTGCTTTCAAACTTCTGACCTCAAGTGATCTGCCTGCCTCTGCTTCCCAAAGAGCTGGGATTACAGGCATGAGCCACTGCGCCCTGCCAGAAAGTTGTTTTAAATTAAATGGCAGACATGATGTTAGAGCATTTACTTGGAGAGGTCTGAGAAAAGACGAAGGTTTTCAATTTCATTTATGTGTCAAGTTGAAACCTGTTTGCACATATCAGCTCTCCCAACTCCTTTGGTCCTGCCTGACCTTTACTACATAGTCAAGCTGCAGTGGTCTGCTGGCTAGGGTGGAAGGAGGTATATTTTTACTTAAAATTGTTGTTCAAGGGGAAAAATTGGTTAAAAACATTTGTTATACATTTATCTAATCTGATCTTAGTGCCTGAGGACACTGACTCTATCATTTGAGAAGTATCTTTAAAGGCACTGAACATTCGTGTAAAGATGGTTTAAAAATAGAACAGGTGGGCTCCAAAGTGAGTACTCTTTGAGGGGGCGTTTCAAACATGAGTGTTGATATCTGACAAAGAGAAAGAATCAGAGTAATTCCATATTCATTTTAGGATGTCAAAGTAATGTATCCATTTAGAATCATAAAGCCTGCTTTTTAAGGCTTTCCTATGCCCTGCTGTCTTTCCCTCCACCCCCTTTTCTTTTTCCCTCCTTTAATAATCAAACCATACATGCCAAGCCGATTACTTAAATCAGTGGCGGGAGTATTCTTGGTGGCCAGGCCATTAGCCCCTGGAACCCCATAAGCAGCTTAATCAGTTTTCAGCCTCAGTAGTAAAGTGATCGAGGCAATCAACAGCTTATCAAACACCCTGTAGGCGGGGCAGCTAGAGCTCAATGCAGCCATTTACTTAACAGCTCACTCTAACCTGGTTCTTTGTGCCTGGCTTTAAGAGCCCCAAACTTATCATATTTAGAGGAAGTTTAATTCGATTACTTTTTCTGCCTGAGGTGGGTTAAATCGGATTTAGCTTTTGATCTGTCTGCATCTTGGCTATCAGCATTGAAGGTCATCCTCTGCTTCATCTTTCCCTGATTTCTGAATAAACAGCAGTCATGTTTTCTGGATCTGAATTGTTCATGCAAATATATAAGGGAAAGGACACAAGGAAAAAAAAATAAAAAATAACATTGCTTTGTGAAAGGGCATGTAGTGGTATCAGAAAACCCTACCTAACTGATCCAACCACCAGCATTATGGTGTCCTGGGCCATTTTGGCCTCTTCTGGACGGCTTCATCATCCTGCTTCTTGTCAATTTCAGGCATTTTAGAGTAAATTATTTTCCCCTGTTTGATTTTTCTCCTCACTGCTAAAGGTTTTTGTAAAAGCAGTTCTGTCTATCATATCAAGTAACTGTAGAAAAGGGCCTTTTAATATACAGATTTGCAGGGGAAAAGAAAATAAAGCAAGTGATTGAAGCGTTATAAATCAGAAAAAGCGGTAATACAGATATTCTTCCTGAATGCACAGATTCCTGTCTACACATTTCTCTTAAGTTAATTTGATTTTTCCCATTAGTTTTTATTTAAAAAGGAAAACAGACATTTTTCTCTTCAAAAAGAAAAAAAAAAGGTAAGAATTTAATAAACATGGTGAAAGGAGATTTATAATTTAGAGATAATTTTAAAATAATATAGTACACAAAGCACTAATAACACTTAAAGATGCTGAAAGAATTCTGGTACCAAAAAATTTTTAACCTTCACGTCTCTGTCTGGTTTTATGTTTATAAGTAACAATTCCTAAAATTTTAGCAGATAGACTTAATTCAACAATTTGACTGAAGATTTCAAGCTACCTTACTTACCACTTTTTGTTACCTTCAAGACAGTTTTCCCCCTTCTTCCCATTATTTGAATTACAGTCCTCTTTGCATGCATTTTCCCTTACTGTTGTGCATTTGGATGTGAGAAAAGAAAGAGCAAGCATTGACAATTGCTTTGCAAAGGAGATTCCCTCTAGTTGTTCTGGGAGCGATTGTCATCTGCTCACTGTTCACTGAGTACCAGTATTGGCAAAATTAATGCTCAGAGTGAGTCCCTAATTGTCTGTTTGTTTCATCAGTGATTGAGTTGCTCATTGGTATGACTTGCACGTGGAAAATGTTGTAGTTGAACATAGTCATCCTCTGACTACAGTCAGTTGGTAGCATTTAGCCATAACGTGTAAAATAGAGCCAAGTACACCCGGCCGAGTAGCAGGGCCAAGGAAGAAGCACAAGATGGGGGCAGAGGCTCTCCAAATCCTGGGAGCTCCAGGGTGCATGGCCTCCATTTACTCATTTCTTGGGTTTAGAATTCCAGGTGAATTTCTGTTCTGCAAACTAGATATTGTTAGAAAAACATATTCAATCCATACTCTTTGAGTGTAACTAACAGAATATATTGTTCATTATTTTTTCAACAAAATCTTACAA